ATGTCACAGGAGTTTTCTTAGGAACTGGAATGATGGTCGACTCTTTAAAGCAGTTCGGCACAGTACAGTTCCTTAGCGACAGGTTGAAAATGTCTGTTAGCACAGGGGCAAGTTGCTCAGAGCACAGTTTCAGGACACGAGGAGGGATGCCGTCCGGGCCTGGGGCTTTCCGGACTGTGGTCCTGGACAAGACACGCCTGACTTCCTCCTGAGTCACGGTGAAGGTACCTTGATTGAAACACTCAGGGAATACAGTAGGACAGGCATCAGCGGATTCAAAGCGACAGTAGAACCAGAATTGAGCCCTGGGGAACTCCACAGTGCAAAGGGGCAGAGGTGGAGGTGGAGTCCCCCAGCCTGACAGTGAAGGACCGCCCTGACAGGTAAGACCTAAACCAGTCCAGGGCGGTCCCCCTAACACCCACACAGTATTTAAGACAATTTAAAAGAGTTGCATGGTCCACAGTGTCAAACGCAGCAGTCAAATCTAAAAGCACTAAAACAGCAGAATTTCCAGAATCTGCCAATAAAAACAGGTCGTTAAAAACCTTTAAAAGTGCAGACTCAGTGCTGTGCAAAGCTTTGTACCCTGACTGAAAAGGGTCTAAAGTGCCATTTTCTTTTAAAAAAGGTTGCAGCTGAGAAATTACGCTTTTTTCTAAAATCTTTGAAACAAAGGGGAGTTTTGAAATCGGACGATAATTTGATAAAATTGAAGGCTCAAGTCCAGGTTTCTTAGCTAATGGCTCCACTACAGCTGACTTACAAAAGGAAGGGACAACCCCAGAACACAGACTCTTATAAACATCCAAGTGGATAATCACCAGTTCCTGCATAGTGTTATAAGAATGATGAGTTTAACTTTAACCACAGTTTCTTCATAGTGTTATGACAGATCCAAACCAGTTTTAAAGTGGTTCTCACCCCCACTCCTCGGAGCTTACGTCACTCACATTTCCTGTTCAAATCTTCCTCTAAATGGGCGTAGCCTGGAGGACTGAAGGCAAGGCAAGGCAAGTTTATTTATATAGCACAATTCATACACAAGGCAATTCAAAGTGCTGAACAAAACAAGAAAGCATTAAAATCATAAATTATCACAGAACATTAAAAAGAAAGATAAAAATATAAAATCCCTCAGTTGTATGCACAGTTAAACAGAACCGTCTTTAACCTGGTTTTAAACATTGTCAGAGAGGAGGCCTGTCTCACATCTTCAGGAAGACTGTTCCAGATTTTAGCAGCATTAATCTGAAAAGCAGCCTCCCCATGTTTAGTTCTGACTCTGGGCACTAACAGGAGTCCAGTCCCTGTGCTCCTCAGAGTCCGGGCTGGTTCATATGGGACTAACATGTCACTAATATATTTTGGTGCGAGGCCATGGAGAGACTTGTACACAAGCAAAGCTGTTTTAAAGTCTATTCTCTGAGCCACAGGAAGCCAGTGCAGAGACCTGAGGACTGGACTAATGTGGTCGTACTTCCTGGTTCTTGTCAGGACTCGAGCTGCTGCATTTTGAATGTACTGCAGCTGTTTTACAGCCTGTTTGGACAGACCTGTGAGCAGGCCATTGCAGTAGTCTAACCTACTGGAGACAAATGCATGGATAAGAATCTCCAAGTCTGCTTTAGACACTATGTTTTTGATCCTGGCAATGTTTTTTAGATGGTAAAAAGCTGCTGATGTTACTGATTTGATGTGGCTATTAAAATTTAAGTCTGAGTCCAGTATTACCCCTAGATTTCTGACCTTGTTTGAAGGTTTTAGGGAGAGAGACTGTAGGTGACAGATGACGCTCTCTCTTTGTTTCTGGGGACCAAAGACAATCATTTCAGTTTTGTCTGCGTTTAGCTGAAGGAAGTTGTTTTGCATCCACTCACTGATCTGTTGGATACAGTGAAGGAGTGAGTCCACTGGTCCATGTTCTCCTGCAGTCAGTGAGACATAGATCTGAGTGTCGTCTGCATAGTTATGATAGGAAACTTTGTTTCTGCGTATTAACTGACCTAACGGCAGCATGTAGAGATTGAACAGAAGAGGTCCCAGGATCGACCCCTGTGGGACTCCACAGGTCAGGGCCATATGATCTGAGACACAGTTTCCAATCTCCACAAAGTACTTCCTGTCTTCAAGGTAAGACCTAAACCAACTTAGGGCGGTGCCAGTGACGCCAACCCAGTCCTCTAGTCTCTGTAAGAGGATCTCATGGTCGACGGTGTCAAAGGCAGCACTTAGATCTAACAAGATTAAGATTGAGACTTTGCCTGCGTCAGTGTTCAGCCGGATATCGTTTGTAACCTTAACGAGAGCAGTCTCAGTGCTGTGGTGGGGTCTAAAGCCGGACTGAAACATATCAAATGAGTTGTTGATTATAAGAAATCTAGTAAGCTGTAGGTAGACAACTTTCTCAAGGACTTTCCCCATAAATGGCAGATTTGAGATGGGACGATAGTTGTTAAGTACAGTGGCATCCAGACTGCTCTTTTTTAGCAGGGGCCTGATGACTGCAGTTTTCAGGGCCTTTGGGAATATTCCAGAATGAAGGGACATGTTTACTATCTGTGTGAGTGAAGGTAACAGACTGCTCAGAACAGACTTCAGAAATCTAGTGGGTAGTACATCCAGGCTGCATGTGGAGGAGCTCAAACTGGAGATTATCTCTTGGACAGTTTTATCATTTACAGGTGCAAAGTGAGTTAGCTCAGAGAGCCTTTCTGGCTGTTGGATGGTTATCTGTGGATTGGAGACAATGGCGCTTTTGATGCCTTGAACCTTGTCATTGAAAAAATTAGCAAACTCATTGCATTTACGTTTGGAAGTAAGCTCTAATGGCATTTGAACAGGGGGGTTTGTTAATCTATTAACTGTTGAGAACAGAACACGCAGATTGTTGCTGCAGCCTTCAATCATTTCAGAAAAATACCTTTCTCTCGTACTACGTAGCACCCGGTTAAACTCGCACAACTTATCTTTGAAGATCTCGTAATCTACCTGGAGGTTGGACTTGCGCCACTTCCGCTCGGCCCTCCGGCACTTTCTCTTTTGTGCCCTGACCGAGTCTGCTTTAGCCCACGGCGCCTTCTGCTTATTTTTCACTATTTTAACCTTCACAGGGGCAACGGTATCCAGAACATTCAAAACACTAGAGGTGACAGAGTTAAACAGTTCATCTACAGTAGAATACGATGCATTCTCAAAGTTTATCATTTCCATAAATAGTTCACTCGTATTTTCATTTATGCGCCTTCTTCGAACAGTTGCAGAGTCCACTGGTGGTTTGTTAGTGAAACACATGTCAAAAAAAACACAGAAATGATCCGAAAGAGCAACATCGACCACGTTTACATTTGAAATAATCACCCCCTTTGTAACTAACAGATCTAGAGTGTGCCCTCTGCTGTGGGTGGGGCCACTTACGTGCTGAGTGAGATCAAAGGATTCAAGTACAGAACTCAGCTCATTTGCATTTCTGTCATCAACATTATCCACATGAATATTAAAATCACCTGTAATAACCAAACTATCAAAATCTGTGCATACAACTGAAAGCAACTCGGTAAAATGATCAATAAAACTGTGACATGACTGCGGTGGCTTGTATAGGACAACGAAGAGTATTGGAGGAGATTGTTTTTGTTGTATTTTAAAAGACACATATTCAAATGACGAAAACTTCCCAAGAGACATTCTATGGGAGACAAAGTGGTCTCTAAAAATGGCAGCTAAGCCTCCTCCTTTTTTGTTTTCCCGTATTTCAGATTCAAACTTGAAATTTGGTGGTGATGCTTCTATTAAAACTGCATTTTCTGAATTTTGGTCAAGCCAAGTTTCAGCCATGAACATAAGATCAAGATTATGAGAACAAATAAAATTATTGATTAAAAAAGACTTGTTACAAAGAGATCTGACATTAAGCGTAGCAAGTTTCAAAGTTTCAGTATCAGCGGTTGCGGTCGGCTGATTTTTACACGGAACAAGAATTAGATTTTCCAGATTAGACTGATTAACTCCAGATGTTTTTCTGTAATGTATTCTTTGTGTTATCACTAAGGGAATGGCACAGGTGGCTTCATGACAGGGCCCCAGCCGGGTCTCTCCTCTAACTAGACTGCCAGTGGCTGCGAAGCAGAGACCCTGTGCATCCTAGTGTTTAGAGAAAAGAGGGGTAGGGGAAGGCGGGGGAGGAGGATGGAGAGGTGGGTGGCTTTTGGGTGTTGAACGAGGGGGGCAGGGAGGTGGAGGGGTTTTTGGTGATGGGTTAGGGGAGGGGCAGGCTGAGTTGGGTGGTGGACGAGGGGGGAGTGGAGGTGGAGGGTTGAAGGGGGCGTGAACGAGACTGGGCCGTTTATATTGCTCTGGGCGGGGGGCTGCTGACGTCAGGTCCAACTTGCAGACGTCAGGTCCAACTTCTGTGCCAGTGTTGGCGCCAGATTCAAAATTCAAATGTAGTAATACAGGTCGCCAGCAGATGGCGCCTCACAGACGGTTTTAGGCAGAAAGTTTAACTTTTAACTAATTTGCACCAAAGTGACAAGATTATGACCAGGATATGTACACAACACTATTGGACACTCATTTATACCGTTTATCAGCAAAACAAAGTGGATTTGAGGGTGAGTTGTCCTTTAAAGTTCACATGCTGCATTTTACAGTTCCACTTTGTCATTGTTTTGTCTCTGTCTGCTTTGTTTTCCTCTATCAACTGTTAAATATTATGACTGTTTTTGACTGTTTTTATTGTTTTTCTGACTGCCCAGCACTTTAGAATCACTGCTTTGTTTTAGCCTTGTAACTAAAAACCATCCCTGAAGCAGAGAGTGCCATCACAGGCCTGTATATCTGCTCTGAGGGAACAGGAAGTGCAGCGTAATCCAGCTTCTCTTGTAATTATTGAAAACAAGCAGCAGTAGATTCCCAAACCTGGCTCCTCTCTGAGCAGAGCATTGTTGCAGGTTTCTGCGTCTCTGATGTGTTACAATAGCCTCTTATGCCAGCGCTCAATGGGGAGCTTTGATTTGCACCAAGAGGCACCGCTCCAGCCCACACCATCAGGAAAACCCCAGCAGGAGGTGCAGGTGTGGGCAAGTTTCATCACGAGGGAAATGCCCCATCAGACCTGTCGGATGGGGCATGAACGCAGGAGTGCCAGTGTGGAGGGTTGGGGTTTTAAACAGACCTGTCGGATGGGGGCATTTAGTTGTGCTGTTGAAGACCCTAACCCCCCACACTGGCACTCCTGTTGATTGTGCACTGCAAAAGAAACTTGGTAGGTTAGTGTCCATCGTAAATATTTTTTCACTTCAATTCAATGTATTTTCTGTGGAGCACTAACATGGAAGACTTTACAAAGTTCAGTAGATTTGCCAACCACAGATTAAAGAATTTAACAGTTATAATAACACACACATAGGAGCGGGATGACCAATGTCCGCAAACGTTAATAAATGTGTGTGAAAGTCCAACATTGACAGACTTGAGGCAGGTTCAGAGGCACACATGCCAGCGGGTCTTTGTTCCAGTTTCCGTTCTCACAGAGATTGTCCCGAGTCTCCAGAAAGAAAACTTGGAAAACATTATAAAGAAGAATAATCTGCGTCACAGTAAAAAAAACGCCAACTCACAGGTGTTCAAATCCAAAAAACTGAGAGAAGTGAAGTTGCCATGTCCTGACCACATCATGTTGTGTCTGCGCTTGTCCATTATGTGAAGGTCAATGTTCACAAAGGTCATAATTGTTTACATCTACTAAGTTTCAGTTTGAGATCAAATCAAGATAAAGTCATTATAATGAACTAAGAGTAAGTTTGAAGTGGGGAAAAATCTTTAAAAAATCTATGTGGAGACTGATTGTATAAATGCATTGCAGCAAAACAAGTGTATTCTATATAAAAAAAAAAAGATAAAGTTATAGTAAGTAATAAAATCAGTAAAGTTGGAGAACAGCTCTCCGGCTTTTGCGAAAGTATTAATACAGCTTGAATTTCAGCATATATTTTAATTTTACAAACGCAAACCACAAAAAAGTTACTGACAACTGTGAAGTGAAAGTTAAACAAGACATAATTGTTGAAAATGACAAGGTCTTGGATCGTGTCAAACAGACCGGAGACATGTTTTATTGTCAATGGTAGAGACGAGACAAAAACAACAATTTTACAGAATGCATGTGATATTATAGGACAGACAATCCAATCAGCAGCTGCTTCGGTGCCCGCTTGGCCTGCACATTACAATAACGTTCAAGTGGAAAAGTACCAGCTTCAGCATTTGCTATATTGATGAATTCAGAGTTAACCACAGTTGCTTCAAAATATCCAAATAATACAAAATAATACAAAATAAATAATCCAAAGGTAAGCATGCGGCCTGAGTTAATACCATGTGGAATCCCCATCTCCAGCAGCTTTTTGTCTAATAATGTCAACTCTTCACTGTCCCTGCTGAAGAAAAGCAGCCTCATAACATAATGCTGCCCAATATTTGACTCTGAGGATGGTGCAGATGGAGGGAAATGAGCTGTGTTAGTCTTGTGTCCCCACTTTGCTTCTTGTGCCTTAAATTCAACACTGACTTTTGGGCAGACAGCTGAGTCTTGGTCGATTTTCAGTTGAGCCATATTCCTTCCATTTCCAAATCATATAAAATATGAATTATGCATCAGTTGTATATAGCGCTTTTTTGGACACTCAAAGACACTTCACATGTTCTATAGGACAGTTTGGCAATTTACAGTCGCAGCCGCCCCACTTTGGCACCTTGTGTTCCCAGAAGTTTCCCATCACAGTACTAACTAGGCCCTGCCCTGCTTAGCTCCAGAGGTCTGACAGGATCTGCTTTTCATGTGCAGGTATGGCTACAATGACATATGAAACAGCGCTCTGTGAGATGTTTAAGCTTTGGAAATGTTTGTATTACTAAGCTTTAATCTTTCCCACAATTTCCTCCCTGTCCTTTGACCTTTTCTATAGATTAAAACAGTCTATTGTGAATTATTTTATGTGTATCCTTTTTTAATTAAGTTTGTTCTAACAACGAATAAAATAATGTGCTCTTTATTTATCCCCGTGGTGAACTTTGTCCCCTACATTTGACCCACCCTGATGCCACTAGGGCGTCTGTCAGGAGTAGTGGCCATCGTAGCCCAGCCAAAGAAGGCCAAGGAGGACACCAGAGAGGTCAGAGGTCAGAGGATGATTTACCCCACACCTTTACAGTACCATCTCATGTATGACACAGTACCAGTGCTGCTGGCTGCCTCCAGGTGTGTGATTCAGTGAGGCTGACGACACGCTCTGCAGAGAAACACCGGACTTATGCAACTGTGTATGCAATCACTGTGTACCTCTGCCGCAGCAGCAGTAGTAGTAGTAGTGTTTAGGCGAGGCGTGTAGAGGAAATATTGTAGATGAAGAGATACTCACAGAGAAACCTGTGGTTGCATCAGCCCAACACAAACCACAGTGTTGTTGATACATGATGACGACACAAATACTACTGTGTCAGTATGTCAATCCCCAGAGCAGACCCCTACCCTGACCCAGATTCCTCTTCACAGCTTGTCATAGTCAGGGGGCAGTGTCTAGTGTCATAGGAATGAAACAGTGTTGGAAAAAGCGACACACGATTGACCTAGAAGTTTAATACCGTTTTTAAATGAGAATGCAAGGTTTACTGGGCTTTTTAACACAACAATGTGAGTCATTTCTAGACACTGGAACAGAGATATGAAACTGAACAAGAATGATATAACAGAGGTACGTGTTTACTAAAATTACCATGAGATATAATCCTTTTGATATCGCTTGTTGTGGAGGCCATTGTTCACAAGAGTTTAAAAGAAAAAAAGACATTGCTCGGTTACAAAATTAATCAGGATTGATAATTGATGTGATTCATTTTTTCACTTGTTACAAGTGTTGTTTTAACATTTTTTCCAGCTAAAGCAATGTTGGTTAATAAATATGAATATTATCATTGTTCATTCAGACATACATACATTTCAACAGAATAGTTACAGTTTATTAGGATTAGTTTCTGGTATTTGTGTAATACCTTGTACTCATGTTATACTCTCTTCAACATAGACTTTATCTATGCAATAAACCATGACATGACTGTTGTTTGTTTGAAAACAGCGACATCATGTGGTGAATCAGCGTACAACATCACTGTGAGCCGACCAATGTACCTCTGGAGCAGAGTCATATAATTGGCAGTTTGTGTGTTTGCTGGTTTACTTAGATTATCTGAAAACATAATGGACTTATAAGGGCAGGACATTCTGAAAATGTATTTTACAGGTGATCCGGGTGATTCCTACTGTTCTATAACTTGTGATGCAACACTGAAATTTCCCCACTGTGGGACGAACAAAGGATCTCTTAATCTTTATTTATCCAGGAGCACCTCTTAGAAAAGATCTCTACTCTAGGTATTTATTTCGTACTCTAGGTATTTATTTTGTTTTCAAAGGAACAACAACATACAACAAAAAGATTTGTAAATATACCTAATTTTAATGGATACAACAGAGTGTGTTCGTGTGTGCGCGCGCAACAGTTTTGTTACTATGTAGAATAACAAAATGACAGATAGTAAAGTCAGAATATTGAATAAATAATGAAGGTTTAACTTATTACTTAATTTCTATATATTTAATGTGATACATACATCTCCAAGGCCTCGCACGCACCAAAGTACATGACATTTTGGTGCCATATGAACTGGCCCAGGAGGCAGCATTTCATTTTATGCAGCTAAAATCAGGAACAGTCTTCCTGGAAAAGTGAGAGAGGTTTCTTCCCTGGCAATGTTCAAATCCGGGTAAAAGAGCTAGGATTCTGTTTGTCTGTGCATGCAACTGAAGGATTTTACAACTGACAGATGTTATCTCTTTTAATGCATTATTATTTTGTACTTTAATCCCTTGTGTGATTTTAACGTTTTTTTGTTTCTTTGTGTGTTTTGTAAAGCGTCTTCGAGTGTCCAAAAAAAGCGCCATATAAGTTTGATGTATTATTATTATTATTACTGTGTGTGTGTGTTTTAATGGTGATGTTGGTGTTTCTTTTATGGTTTTATGTGACGATTTGTGCCTTGTGTGATGTGTTTTGCGACACATTAAAACACACTTGTGTAGCCCTGTGTAGGAAAAACGCTCTATAAATACAGATTGAATGATTGATGGATTAATCAAATGTGACATATACATTTCTGCTGTGTGAGATTAATATAGTAATAAAGTATATCTTATATCTTATCTTGATTCACGTACTAAGCGCCTTGCAAAACCCAAAGAGTGTTTACCGTAAGACACCACATAGAGCCGCTCCCAGCCTGCCCGCCCCGTGCAGACCACGTGCAGACCACGTGCAGACCACGTGCAGACCCCGGTACGGCCTGCGCTTTGGGCTCGTCTACTCTCTACATTACGGTGAAGCCGGCAGTGAGCGACACAATGGATCATCCCTGAGCATGGAGACGCCGCTGCTGGAGCCCCTCACACCCCCCCAGTCTGTCTAACGTCAAATATCCTCTGTTTCTGCTTTTTCTACCCTCTCACACCTGTGCCTGGGCATAGTTTTCTAGTTAGCCATTTTGGGAGATAAGCTAGTTAGCAGTTAGCAGTTTAGCTAGTTGCAGTGACAGCCTCTCTGCTGCTTAAGCTTTGTTTTGATTTTGAATAAGCCTGTACATGTAGCTTGGGGGCTAATCATCATGGAGTTCCCGTTTGACATCAACCAGTTATTCCCTGAACGAATTTCCATCTTGGATCAGACTCTTGCAGTCAGTCGTAAATCATCTGCGAGGTAAGATTATAGCCTGTTTCCAATGTGTTGCTTTTATTTTCTGCCAGCACAAATAATATGAATGAGTCTTGGTGTTAACATTGATGTGTATTGTCAAAAACCTCCTGCCTGCTCAGTCTGACATATATGATATCCCATGGTAGGGTATTGTATATGATTCTATGTACTGCACAGTATCAAATGTGTATTCTGTATGTTGATAAATTGCATATTGTAGTCTGTGTATTATTGTGTTGAATGGTGAGAGGGGTTGGGAACAAACAAAAATTTGCTTCATCAAACCCCTTTTCAAACCTGTATTACTTTAAAGATGTGTGCTGCAGGTTTGAACCTAACTAACAAATAGCTACATCCTGTATGTAGTACCAGTTCTGTGCTTCATGTGAGGTAAAATTTGTAGCAAAAATAACATTCTGAAAGTTCAACTGCAGTATAGCATTTAAATTCTCATCTTCCCCACATGTCATAAAGGATTATCGTGATGCTAGTTCTTGCTGCTGTTGGGGGAATAAGCCGTTACATATGTTGAAGCACTATAATTAAACTGCTTTAAATTTTATTAGACGACACACTTTGAATGCCAAATGAAGTACAGAGTGCATATGAGTATTATTGTGTTGACACTGTTGATAGTTGATAGTGAATGGGTTAGGTTTGATACAGTGATGTCCTGTAAGCTTTCACAGTGGATTAGGACACACCCAGAGGCCATCTGCAGCCGGGTAATAGACTGAGGGGAAGTGTTCTATAAGTGTTTACATGCTCAGTTGGTCAATTTCAAAAAAGATATATCTTCCTTTCATGCCACACTCTCTTTACAGACCAGATCTCCAAGAAAACATAGCCACAGTGCTGGACGAGCTGGGGAGAGCATCTGCAAAGGTCAGTTACAAGGGAAAATATAGATGAATAATATTGCAATCTCATAATTATGACCTATAAACCTCAGTTCAACATCTTTGTTCTGATATGACATCATTTCATAGTGTTTGGGAATAGTGTTGAACACATTTAAAACTTGGAGGCATTTCATCAGAACATATTACTGCATTAGGGCTGGGCGGTATGATATTGTTGGCAGTAATACTGGTATAATTTTGAAGGACAAAAGGAAACTGGAAAACCGTCATAACCGTTGTGCGTATGCACGCCCTGGTGATGTTTATCTTTGGTCTGAGACTCAGTGGCTGTGATCACAGCAGAGGAACTTAGAAACCGGCTTCTCTCCTTCACACTTGGAAGTGTCTTGGTAACCGGGGTAAGGGCCGGTCTCCCTCAGGTTAATGATCGAGTACCTACCTTTTCTATTGTTTCATAAATGTATTTCTTAGTCTCAACAGAATATTGTTTTACATCGTTACTGTAATATTTCTTTCTCATCTTGTGATTTCATATTTAATCGGCCAGCCCTGTACTGTCTTGTTAGTTTTGATGATGCTTTTAGATCAGGTTTAGACCAATAGCCATTCAGAGCCCCAAAGTAAACCTGACATCAGCCTCACTGTGAAACTAAATCTGTTATATCCCATAAGATGTGTATTTGATTATAATGTGTTGCTTTCCACTTTGAGAACCACTGCTCAAGATGAGCCTCAAACGTTGTATGAGGTAATTCATTTTTTTGTCAATTATTTTTATTTTAATGTCAGTAATAATTATTAATACCAGTAGATGTCAATGTTTGCAAGAAGAATCAGAATTCACATGTGTCACAAGCAGAATGTTTGGGAGGTACTCGCTGTGTAAAAGTCCATATAAACATTTTAAATCAGACTGCAACTTAATTTGTCCTGAAGTGGTATTATTAGACCTGTTCCTTTCTGGAGACTATTAATAGACATCACAAAATGCATTTTATATATTTTGTTTGAATATTAAAGAAGCACTGCTCCAAAAGTGTATACAAGCTCTCGATAGCAAATACTGCACCACCAGAGGGCGCACGTGTGTCTAACTGGACCATAGAGACACAAGGTCATACCGCAACTGAACTTGGGGTTATTTGTACCCAATTTGATAGAAAAAATTCCATAAAGCCAATATTTTTTTGTTAAAAAAGGCAGAGAACTTTTTTGCCTATGATGTCATTGTCCATTCTCTATTTGTTCTTTCATCAATGTTGTTCTAAAAGTGATCCATACATGTTTTGAGTCCATTATATTCAGTTAATAATAATAATCTATTTGTTCGCCGACTATTCATTTTCATCTTTCGATTTTAGTTGTTTAGATCCAGTAATAATGGCATTACATTTATATTTGACCAAAACAGAACTTAGTGCTGCTCCCTGGGGCACATCTTCACAGAGATGGCTTGTTACACATTGGGGATGTCTGGTTAAAAATAATTTGTAAACACATTTTCATTTAATTTTGCAGTCATTTTAGAAATATCATAAACATATTTATTTTTTACTTGTCATATCTCATTATGTGTAAGTCTAAGGAATGTTAAAAACATTAATTTTGTTACTATACGTTGACAACTAATTCAATCAATTAAACTAGTTTTGAGTAATCGAATTGACCTCAGCCCTAAACTTGATCTTCACTAGTAAAAGTTAATCTCTATAAATCAGCAAACTTTTAAGAGCCAAGGACTGGTTTAACGTCAGACATTATTCTCTCTCTGATATTATGAACGTGACCAACTGTGCAACACAGGCGTTCAGGATGGTCTGACCCGGTTCAGAGGATTCATGTGGGAAATCCAACTACAAGTTTCAACCAAATGTATCTTGGTGACAAGCCTGGTTTCTGCTGTGTCGATCAGACACATGCGCTCTGCTTAATCTTTGTTGTTTAAAAACTGTTATTTCCATGACTGGGCTTCAGCTTGTGCTGCGTGCTTTCTGTGCTTATACCCCGTCACTCTCTTGTCTATTAACCCTTTAATGGTCACTCCTTGAAGAAAGAAATTTAAGTTTGTAACAATTAGTAACAAGCTTCTAATTTTCTTTATTTTCTTTATTTTATTTTTTTTGATCCCCCTAGTTGTTTTTAATTATAAGCCTCTACCAAATGGTTGAGATGCAACTTGATGGTAGAAGTGCTTCAAACCAAAGGAGATGCTTCATTGAGATAGATTTCAGTTCCAAGCTTCAAGTGATTCACCAAAAGGTTGAGGAAACCAATAAAGGGTTTATTCAGCGCTATTGTGTCATGTGACCAAGATGTAATGAGAGTCTCCATCATTTTTCATAACAAAGCATCAGAATGACACATGGCCCGAAACCAGGCAGCTGAGGGTTGGGGACCACTGCCATGAAGCATTTGTCTTTTTCAGCGTTCCTTTCACACACTGCGTTGTTTTGTGGAGAATTATTGTTGATTCATGATTCCCAAATGGAAATGCGTTAACATTGTGAAATATTGATGAGTTGATTGGGTCTTCCCCAGGCCCAGCAGCTGACAGCCCCCATCACCAGTGCCTCCAAACTGCAGAGCCAGAAGCACCAGCTGTACCTCATGAAAGATGGAGCGGCCAATGGGTACTGTGTTTCTATTCACTTCATAAAAGCATGATCCATTCAGCATTCTGGCTTTTCACGATAGAGCTTAATGTGTAGCCTTTGTGTGGAGCAAATGTGTGAAGTCTGCAGAAGTGTGAGAGTGATATCATTGCACATACTATTAAAGGACTGAGACAGAAGGGTATATGTCTGTGATATTCGCATGGGTGGATCTAAAAACCACTCCAGGTCTGTGACTGAGGAGGAACAATGTTGTAACATAAGCACAAAAAAGCTTTCCTCTTTAATTAAACTTGAAATGCACTTGATAAATATTGCTTAAGTCAATCTCTTGACCAATATATTGGTCATATTTTTTGCCAGTGAGTTGGTCCTGGTCCTGCTCCTGCTGTGCTCCCGTCTCTCTCAGAGCAGGGCTTGTCTGAGGCAAATGCACTTCCACTCATGAGTAGTACACAGTACACAGTACACAGTACACGGCACACAGCACTCAGTGTGTTGGTGTAAACAGCCCACACCAGTGTGCTTTAAAGAGGAAACACTGTTCCTCTTCACATCTGGCCTTGGCACACCCGTTTCCTTTGGCTCTGCTCACACTCCACATTTCATCATCCAAATCAAATACTCCAAATCACAAGCATTTAGATTTGGACTCAATCAGGGTTTCCCAAACCATTCTGTCAAGGATTGGAGTCCAGGAGTGAAACATATTTTTGTGTATGCCTGCTCAAACTTCTAATGGCAAACATTTAACAAAGTACTTATTTGCTTTGACTAAAACCACTGATTTATGTCAAATATTAAAAGATTAACATGAACAATTGGAGTCGAAATCAAACATTTCACATTTCAAAGCAGCCCCAAACCCATAAACAAACTCGAGGACCAAGAACACGTCTGACCTGTTTCACATCAGCATCAGTACTGTAGCATCAGTACTGTAGCATCACTACTGTAGCATAAGTACTGTTGCATCAGTACTGTAGCATCAGTACTGTAGCATCAGTACTGTAGCATTAGTACTGTAGCATCAGTACTGTAGCATTAGTACTGTAGCATCAGTACTGTAGCATCAGTACTGTAGCATCAGTACTGTTGCATAAGTACTGTTGCATCAGTACTGTAGCATAAGTACTGTTGCATCAGTACTGTAGCATCACATATTGTTGTAATGGGCAAGTACTTTAAATGTCTGCTCTCACAAAAACTGTAACCACATCTGATCTCCACTTTTGGAAATGGCACTGCAGGTGTTCAAAGCTGTGACTGGAGTTTTTGAAAATATTCTGATAACATTAATAATTTTTGGCATATAGTTAAGTTTGGACTTTACATCATGAACCGTGTTGTCTCCACAGAGGACGCGGAGCGGTGGTGGGATTCCTCAAAGTGGGCTATAAGAAGTTATTCCTGCTGGTAAGTCTGTCCTTCTCTGTCTAAAATCATTTATGTGTAATCAATTATTCTTTCAATGTATTCGTTAGTTGTTTAGAACATCTTTGAATATGGGACTTTTCATACATGTGACCAAAGCAAAGCTCAAGTGATGCCCCTGGAGAACTTCATAGAGATGAGTTGTTACAATATTAATACTATGTAAACATATTTTCATAAAATTATAGTCATTATATAATTATCTCAGTCATAAAACCTTTGGATAAGAGCCAAAGCCAGCTAAATTACCTTTAACAAACTGGCAGACCAAATGGCCACTTCATTCTGCTCTCTGATTATCTGCTTGTAAACATAAATATGATGGGTATCATGCCCATTATACTTTTAATATCAAAAGTTACATATGTAACTATGGTTCTATGAACCCGATTGACCATCAGGAAGATTATATGATTTTGGAGGATTATATAGCCCTCCTATTGGTCATCCAGTAGTCACAGGTGTGACACATTTGGTATTATTTACTCAAACTTCACTCAAGGGATCATTCATCAACGTGCCCCATTCTCTGGCCGGCAGTAGAAAGGAAATAGAATGAAATGTTGACATTTAATTTGTGCATGTGACCTGTGGACACAGATGTAGATGAAATTTGAATTTAACATTTTGCATATGGTCGCTTTTTAAGTTTATTCAATAAAGTGTTAATCAATGACTAAGTTAGATGACTAAGTTAGATGACAACTTATTCAATAAAGTTGTACATCATTTATTCTCAGGTTAATAAGCGAAAACCATAGCAAGTAGCATCTGGATGTTTTAAGGCTGTAAAACCCCTCACGCACACTTTATACATTTTAGTATAGTAGTAAACAGTCATGGCGGACGAAGAGGATGCAGTGGCGATAGTGTGCAGTTTGTTGTTAACAGAGAAGAGACGTAATCCAAAGAAAAGGCAATGGTCAAAGCCATGCTGCTGTGTTTTGGTTTTTTTCCGGTGTTTCCTCACCGGCTTGTCACCTCGTCTTCTTATTGGCTACACGCCGTAGTCATGGCAACGCGCTCGCTTGTCCTTGGAGGACACCACACACGACGAGAAATCGGTCCAAAACAATCCAACATGTTGGATATCCCCGATTTGAGATCGGGAGCAGTCCCGATGTCCTTCCGAGCGACGAGTGCAGTCTTAACACACCACACACGGCAGGATAATCTGTAAGATTTTTTTACGGAAATCGGAGCGTTTCTTAAGATTGTCGTAAGGGGTAAATCGGGTCTAAATCGGCCTAAATATCCTGCCGTGTGAACCAGGCTTTAAGTGCAATCACAAAGATATCAAACCGGCTGGTTGCAGGTCTGAGTGCTGCTGCAGCTGTCAAAAGCCCTGCATACACTGTAAAATCCGAGCAGAGGACATCATGCTTATGGGCAGGAGCAGGACTGAGGGCTACGACACACGAGGCATTCAAATGTTCTTGTGACTAAAGATAACTGTCACGTTATAATAGCAGTTATATGATGACTATATATGATGTTGTTGGAGTATTAAAAAAAAAAAGCATACAACATCTACAAAACAGCAAGGACACAAAAAGTGAACCGCTTCATAGTGAGGGACCACAGCAATCAATTTATTGAAATTTAATTTATAACCTGTTACAGCCATAGTCTTCATATAAGAGCGTTAATAATTTGCTGGAAAGGTGAATTCTCTTGTCCCAGTCCTTTTTATATTCATCACATTTTCTGATTCATGCTGTATTTCAGACACATATAAAAAATCTTTGTTTAACCCTAAATCACAACAGTAGTTATCTTGGAGGACTTTGCAAAGTTATTGATTCAACATCACAGATCGGAGAATCAAACCGTTCAAACACAAGATACGCAATGATAAGGAACACATAGAGCCATTGGTCCGTAGGGGGCAGATGACCAAAGTCCATAAATGTCGGCAAGAAACAACTCTTAACAACCGTTAAGTGGGAGAATGAAATGATGATTGCATTGACAGACGATGTGGTTTTGTATCCCAGGACCGGCAACGTGCTCACATAGAAGCCGAGCCCCTCTGCATCCTGGACTTCTACATCGCTGACAACAGGCAGCGGCACGGCTACGGCCTCCAGCTCTTTGACCACATGCTACAGGTGAGAGACCAGCCCCAGCGAGGGACCAGCCCCAGCGGGTCAGTCTGTGGTCAGAGCGAGGGGTCACAGTGAGGGACCTGTGTGTCCTTTGTCTTGTGTATTTAAACCCTGTGTTGTCCTTTACTCCCTTTTCCGTCATTGTCATTGTTGTCATCACCCGCAGTTTTGCTTACGTTTAGATTATGATTTGATTTGATTATATTTCATTTAGGGAAAGCCCTTTGTAATGCAGCATCTAAATTTTGATAGGGTCCCATCAACATAAAACAACACAATACATATAGTACATATTTAAACAATTCACATTTACACATTTAACACACACAAGACTGTATGCAATAATCAGATACAGTGCATACACACAGCAGGAGGTAGAATAGTGCAACATTTTGTCCTGTGACACGGGGAGCACAGGGACTGGGGAGGCGCTGTTTGTGCCGGACATTCCTCGAGCAAAACTCACCTCAGAAAGTATTTCCCAAAAGAAACAAGATGGTAGTAGATCAACAATACGCTCAGTTAAAGCTGAGGTACCTGACTTTCAATCCACAAATAAATGTATATTCGTAATAAAATCAACAATTTCCTGGCTTGAAATCATTTTAGCTCTATCTCTAGTTTATTTTACTTATTCAAACTATTTCTGTTGGTACAAACATGTTATTTATGAGAGAGGGAGAAGTTAGGTACCCCAACTTTAATATGAAGTTGTTGCGCATGTTGCAGAAAACGCGTACATTCCCTTGGTGACGCAGTGGTTCGCACCTGCCTCACTGCAAGAAGTTCCTGGGTTCAATTCCACCTCCAGACGGCGATTTGAGGCTTTGAGTTTGCATGTTCTCCCTGTGTTTGCTTAGGTTTCCTGTACCACTGAATACACGTATAATCGGTCTGGCATGTGACAAATGTGAAGCGCTTTGTGAATATGTGTGAAAGGTGCTATATAAATAAAATACTTAGTTGTGCAGTCGGTTCCGATGTGTACATTTTAGCTGCAGGTACTGGAAATGGATAATACAAGAATTTGAGTAGACTGAGATTAACTGAGAATAACTGAGATTTTAACTAGTAATGTATGTAATTACTGACTTACAGTGCCTTGCAAAAGTATTGAACCTTTCAATATTTCGCCACATTTCAGGCTTCAAACATAAAGATATAAAAATTAAATTTTTTGTCAAGAATCAACAACAAGTGGGACACAATTGTGAGTGGAACGTATTGGATAATTTAAACTTTTTTAACAAATAAAAAACTGAAAAGTGGGGCGTGCAATATTATTCGGCCCCCTTGCGCTAATACTTTGTAGCGCCACCTTTTGCTGCAATTACAGCTGCAAGTCGCTTGGGGTATGTCTCGTATCAGTTTTGCACATCGAGAGACTGGAATTCTTGCCCATTCTTCCTTGCAAAACAGCTCGAGCTCAGTGAGGTTGGATGGAGAGCGTTTATGAACAGCAGTCTTCAGCTCTTTCCACAGATTCTCGATTGGATTCAGGTCTGGACTTTGACTTGGCCATTCTAACACCTGGATACGTCTATTTGTGAACCATTCCATTGTAGATTTGGCTTTATGTTTTGGATCATTGTCCCGTTGGAAGATAAATCTCTGTCCCAGTCTCAGGTCTTTTTCAGACTCCAACAGGTTTTCTTCCAGAATGGTTCTGTATTTGGCTCCATCCATCTTCCCAACAATTTTAGCCATCTTCCCTGTCCCTGCTGAAGAAAAGCAGGCCCAAACCATGATGCTGCCACCACCATGTTTGACAGTGGGGATGGTGTGTTCAGGGTGATGAGCTGTGTTGCTTTTACGCCAAACATATCGTTTTTTTATTGTGGCCAAAAAGTTCGATTTTGGTTTAATCTGACCAGAGCACCTTCTTGCACATGTTTGGTGTGTCTCCCAGGTGGCTTGTGGCAAACTTTAAACAAGACTTTTTATGGATATCTTTGAGAAATGGCTTTCTTCTTGCCACTCTTCCATAAAGGCCAGATTTGTGCAGTGCACGACTGATTGTTGTCCTATGGACAGACTCTCCCACCTCAGCTGTAGTTATCTGCAGTTCATCTAGAGTGATCATGGGCCTCTTGGTTGCATCTCTGATCAGTCTTCTCCTTGTTTGAGATGAAAGTTTGGAGGGACGGCCGGGTCTTGGTAGATTTGCAGTGGTCTGATACTCCTTCCATTTCAATATAATTGCTTGCACAGTGCTCCTTGAGATGTTTAAAGCTCGGTAAATCTTTTTGTATCCAAATCCGGCTTTAAACTTCTCCACAACAGTATCTCAGACCTGCCTGGTGTGTTCCTTTGTCTTCATGGTTCTCTCTGCGCTTTAAACAGAACCCTGAGACTATCAAAGAGCAGGTGCATTTATACGGAGACTTGATTACACACAGGTGCATTCTATTTATCATCATCAGTCATTTAGGACAACATTGGATCATTCAAAGATCCTCACTGAACTTCTGGACTGAGTTTGCTGCACTGAAAGTAAAGGGGCCGAATAATATTGCACGCCCCACTTTTCAGTTTTTTATTTGTTAAAGTTTAAATTATCCAATAAATTTTGTTCCACTTCACGTCCCACTTGTTGTTGATTCATGACAAAAAATTAAAATGTTATATCTTTATGTTTGAAGCCTGAAATGTGGCGAAATGTTGAAAGGTTCAAGGGGGCCGAATACTTTTGCAAGGCACTGTATTTGACAAACAGTGGTTTTCTACTTTACTTCCCAGAATGCCACAGATTAAATGTTTATTCTATATTTAGATGAAGACTCTTTGTCCTGAAGTGGTGTGTGTCTCCTCAGGACAAGAACGTGCAGCCTGCGCTGATGGCCTACGACAGACCCTCACCCAAACTCCTCTCCTTCTTGGCCAAACATTACAATCTCACACAAAGTATTCCTCAGGTACTGCTACAACTTCTACTCATAGTTTTTGTGTATTTTCAATCACTGGGCGACTGTCATTGGGTTTACATTCAAAAGTATAAATCATGAACTCTCTTCCTTATTATAAACAATACATACAATTTTTTGAGAAAAATTAGGGTTCTTTACTAAACTTTAAACATGGCATTAAAAACTATATAAAGAAATACATTAAAATGGCAGGTCAGTGTTTATCTCCAGCTTCTAATTAGGAACTGTCTTGTTGCATGAGCCGGTGATTACAGATATCTGCTGACTCTAATGAAAACTTGTTAAAAGCGAAAAGAAACAAAACAAAATTGCAAGTGTTTGTACATCTACATAAAAAATCACTTTGCCAAAAAAAGGGGAATACTCATTTCTGTGGTGGAATATTGGTTCTCAACTGTAAAATATAATATTGCATAATGTCCAAAAGATGTGGAGATATGGAATAGTCTTGAGACTGTGCAGACTTGAGGAATGCTCTCATGAGACATTAGTCCCATGTTTATAAGTCTAACTTACTTGCAGGGTTAGAACGGCCTTCACTCCAATAGTTGGAACTCAAACTCTCTTCCAGCTTCCTCGTCTTAATGATGCCTGATCTGCCTCTCAGTGCTGCGTTGTTGATAAACGTGTTTTGCCCGATGGGAGGGAAATGAGGTGATGCCATCAGGACCAGCGGTGGCCTCCTCCTCTCCGCATTCCTCTGTGATTGCTCCACTTCGGGGCATTCTTTTTAGACCCTTCATCATGACACCGACAGGAAATTGAAATGTTAAAGCATCTGAACACAGTTGGACAGAAAGGAGTTCATGGAATGATCGCGGGTCTTAATGTTTTGAAGCTTGAAATTATAATGACAAGACACATCTGTTGGACCAGTTATATATTTCTCAACGATGGACTGCGTCATACATGCAGGGAACAATTTTCACAAAAAATGGAAAGAGCAATCCACACAAAGACTCTTATTCAAAATTATTCTTTTTGTATTACAATCTAACTAGTATTCATGGAGTAACTAAAAGTAAAATAAAAAGTTGACTTAAAGTTCCCTTAACCCTTTAATGATTTCCACCTTTTGAGTCAATATATCTATTTCAAGTCATCATTAAATGGCCCTAATATTTTCAAAGGCATTAATAAACCAGGCTCTTTTCAAATTCTTCTTTAACCGTTAACAGTAGATAAACCGAGATTTTTGAATTTCAATATTAGTTTTTCAGCCCGTAAATCTTGTTCCTGTTTTTATTTCGATAACCCGCCCTCCACCGTTTCTCCAGCCAGGAAGTCCGTGATCCGGGTTGCCAGAACTCCCAGCGGCTAGCTAATCTCACTGGTAAAATAACATTTGGCCGCAGAATTAAAAAAGGTCTTGTTATGATTCTCAATTCATGAATGACAAAACAAAGACTAAAACAAGGATTTTAATTCCTTGTGTTTGCTTATGTATTATACAGCTCCTTTAAGCTTGGAACTGAGATCTACCTCTTTGGGGCATCTCACTTGTTTTTAGGCACTTTTACCATCAACCTGCATCTCAACCATTTGGTAAAGGCCTATAATAAAAAAAAAACTTAAGGTTAAAAAAAACAACTTAGATACAGATTGCTTAGAAAATCCAAAAGAGACAAAAATGGCATTGCTTTCTTCTTGGATTGAATGTCAATATAATTAAAAACACGTCGCTACTGCCAAAATGACACAGGTGCCCCCCGCTGGTCAAGAGGGGACCCACATGTGACGGTAAGCTCAGAACGAAAGCACAGTGAGAAACAGACAACACCTTTTTACTCCTCTTTTCTCACACAGACGCACATGCCTCAGTTCTGTCTGTCTTTCACTTACTGTATATCCACAACAGGTCTGTGTGAATCTGATTTTTGTTTTGTTTTTTGTTTTTTAGAAACGTTGATTCTCCTCCATGTCTGAAATAAAGTTATAGATGTTTCCTGTAACTTTATCTGCACTGTTAAATACCTCTACTGTCAACGAGAGCAGTCTTTTTGATTTAATTAACTTTTCATATCTCTGAACTCTGAACATTGCGAAGCGCTTCTTGTTCTGTAAAAATGCTCTATATAAATAAAGCTTCCTTACTTATTTATTCACTTACCCCTGCGCATAAGGGGGTCCTGTATAGAGCGGGGTCCTGCTCTAAACAACATCCTAATGCAGACTTCAAGTGAGTTTAAACGGTGTCAGTGAAATGCAGACACAATATTTACCAGGTCTGGGGGTTGAGGTGGATGCTCGGCTTCAAAGTACCCAGAGGATCGGAATTGGTGGAGAGAGAGGAATGCTCAACACAGGAACGTTTTTTTTACCAGGAAAGTTCCATTGAGATTAAGAGCCTCTTTTTCACGGAAGTCCTGGACAAGAGGCAGCAAAAGTTACACAGAATTTTACAAAATGACAGATCATTGCATGTCAATGAGGTCCTCAATCTGAAGCTATAAGCATTAAATTAAATATAACCATTGAATAATAATAATAATCTCTACTGCCTGGTTTCATGTTTTAACACTTTATCACAGCGGTTGACCGTTACGATAAAACGCTAGAATTTGTATCTTTCCTGAAGAGTACAAAATGGCCTAACTTTCTGCTTCCCAGCTCTCATCATTGTGTCACTTTGGGTCAGAGAAAACAATAGTGTGCATTGTAGCAGCTGAATGAGAGTATTACTGATACAAACCTGCTCTTCCATCTCCTTATCGCCTCCACCTGACCTGCACAGCCAGTTCCACAGTCACTCCTCCGCAGCTGAGTCCTGGCGGGGTCAGACCAGGGGCAGATCCTGTAACATGGATTAAATAAACTAAATTATGTGTTGGGGGGCAATACAATAAAAAGGTGCAATACATTTGTTCAGCTGCTACAGGCTTTCTGGAATGTTGTGATGCCACATTATTATTTTTGGTTTGTCACTGTGCATCAATAGATTCATTTTGAACAGGACGTTTCAGAGCAAAAAGGCGCAACATTTCTTGTATCTTTTTAAAACGAGATCATTTTGCTTTGTCCCATTGGCAAATTTTATTTCAAGGCTGTCAGAATGTGCTCAAATTAAGATACATTTTGCCAAATTCAAGCAATTTTTGACTTATTTTTCATCACTTTTTGTAGTACATTATTACAGTATTCTTCAAAAGCACATTCGAGCTCATCACCTTCTGTAAACTGCTGTAAACCAAAGAGAAATTTTACACAACCAACTAACCGTCTAATCTTCATTTAGGTCAACAACTTTGTGGTGTTTGAAGGATTCTTCTTCGACAAATCAGGTAACGCTCTGTCTTTATCGATGTAATATTATGTTGCTTAGAATGAATCACATAAATATCCCCCACTGCTATGAAATTATTGATTGGATCCAACATCTATTGTACTGATTTCACACACCCCACAGCTCTTCAAACTGACCTTTAGTTCAATGTTGTTCAAAGCAGAACTTTGAACAACTGGGGTGGGAGGGGGCATTTAATTCCAACGGTCATGTGACCATGGAAATGTAACGGGTTTCTTTTCAATTCAATCTTTGTAAGGTTTTAATGTTTTGTAAATGTATTAAAGATTATAAAAAAAAAAAAAAAAGCAGCCCAGGCCTGGGCTTCAAGTTTTGGTCAAAACACCCTCGGAATTCTTGATGCGATTTTGTAAAGTAAATAACACAACTTGAAAAGAGTGCCAGTTGAAAAAGCCTTTACCTCTAGACTAACATTACAGGAAAGGTTAATAGAGTTCTATCCCACAGTCCGTTCTTAACACTTTGTCTGAATGATGAAGATGATTATGAGTAACTGGAAAACACTAGGAATTTACTTTGGCTCAAGGTGCGTTGTAAGAGTGAAGGCATGCATTAAAAAAATCTTCATAAACTTTCTACTAAAAATACTACAGCAGTGGAATTACTACTATTTACAAGTGCACTAAGTGCACACATGTTCAAAATAAAGGTTCATTTTTGTAGCTTGAGAACTGCGATTCTCTTGGATGGCGATGATGGGGCAGCCTCGGGGTTTTGCATGTGGGTGTATTTCTTGCTTTTGGCATCGCAGCGGACCCTCACGCCTCATGTTTTGTGTATGACCTTTAAGTTACATCTGTTCATTGGGTGTTCTCTGGGCCTCCGCAGGCTTCATGTGTACATACATACACATACATACATATATCCTGTTTCTATATCTGTGCTGTCGTTTGTCATCACACTCAGGCTCGCGCTGCCCTCCTCTGACGGATCAGGGGATGTACGGCTATTTGTAAGGACGCTCTTCTGTTCCCATCCCTCATCCCACCATCCCACCATTCCATTCTGTTTTAGAACGGTCGTAATGGATTTAGGATCTTACTAGAGCTGGTAAATGGTAAAAATCTGATGATGAAGTATTGCAATATTTTTGCCACAATTCATTTGCGATTCTTAACATTTTGCGATACAGCAAGTATTGCGATATGATTTTGAGTGCAAACACTCAGGAGGGTCGTGCTCAAGCGTTATCCTTGAACATTCAGGACCTCATTACAGAAGAAAAATCATTATTCTCTGAATAGAATCACTTACATTCAAATACAACAGATTAGAGTCACTACAAGCAGACATCATAGAGAAATAGAAACCTCAGATGTAAATTCACAGAGTAAACCCAAAGAAAACATTAAAGGAAGTGAAACAGATGATTATTTATTTATATACTGTTCTACTGTATTGATTTTAATTGTGTGCGTAAAATATAGCGATACTGAACAGAATCAGTTTTTTCCGTACCGCCAAATCTTGCAGCTTTTCATCATACCTGGCATCTATAGACATAAGTTTATGTCACTTCCATAAGCTAAAGGCCATAAGTTATTCAAGAACCAATTAACTTAAAATTAGTGTTTTGCTTCAGTATTTAGTGCTTAGAGCTACATGTGTCACAGACCGGAAGATTCTGGCAACAAAAGGTGGATTGTACAATATAATGAATTTATTTATTACCTAACTTTCAAACCACAAATATGTAACTGTGATAAAATCCATCCACAGTCGTTCCTCGCTCTGGTTCAGTCAGTGCTGTAGTTGCATGTATTTTTAGACTTTGCATCTTGTTGAGACAGACTAGTGAAAAAGAGAGGACCACCCTCACTCAGCCTAAAATGTCATATTTTTACTCACAAGGTCTTTCTTACATGTAATTATTTTTAATACACATAATATTACTATACAATTATTACTAATATGAAAAGGGGACTCTTTCTGTTGGGACAAAACACATTTATTATTAGTCAAGGGGCGAGTTTAGTTCCTCAGCTTTAAATGTGATGTCAGTACCTTCATATTGTATTGTTTTTTATACCGTTTTGACCATATCACCCTGAAGTATCTTGTCAAGGAAGTATTTCTTAAATATAACTTACTTGATATTTTCCCTCCTCTTGCCATTTCTGCAACCAGTAAGATTTACTGGAAGAGAATATTTAGAAAGTCAGAATCCAAATTATTTTATTGCCTTGTGAGTAACAAGAAGTCACAGACTAGGAAATGGCTTTGGCTCTCGGTGCAAACAAAGTAAAAAGTAGAGAATAGAATAAGGCATGCATGAAATAAAAATCTACTTAAAATGACGTCATGTCCTTAAATCCCAGCATCCCGTTCTAAAATGGCCCCATGATGATGATGATGATGATGATCGCACGGCTGCATGTGTTTGGTGCATGCCTCATCGTAGCAGTATTTGGCTTTTTAGTTCTGTAACTGACCCCCTTTGATAAGTGCTGGAGTGTTGGCCTAAGACCTTGTGTTTGCGTCCACAGCGGGGCAGTTGAGAAAGACTCCCCTAAGAAAAGCAGACGGAGAGATCAAGCCATACTCGCTAATGGAGAGGGAAGGTAAACACCATACTCTGCACTAGTCTGTGCTTCAGTGGCCTTCGTTATTTAACCTTCCTCTTCTTTAATTCTTGCGTCTTTGTTATGCTAGAGTTGGAGGTTATATATTGCTTCCATATTATGCTAAAGCTAGAGATTTAGAGTTTAGTATGGAGTATTGTATGGAGCTGTGTTAATGTATCTTATATTGTGTGCTCCTTATTCCTACTGTTCTGTTACTGGTGATGCAACCCTGAAATGTCCTCACTGTTGGAAGAATAAAGGATCTCTTCATTTTATTCCATTATTCTTATTGATGAGTCTGTGTTGACAGTTGTTTGTGTTGTCAATAATATGATATAGTAGTAGTGTGGTAACCCTCTTTGTGGCTGTGTGTGCAGTGGTGCGACAGGAGCAGAGGGTCCCCCCCTGGCCGTTTGGCCCTCCACAGTCGCCCCAGCGGTGGGTATCCTCCCCGTACTCCCAGTCCCCCAGTGGGTCCCCCAGCAGAGCTCCCAGAGCAGGGCCCCCCCAGTCTCCGCTGCTGGAGCACTGTCGAAGCAGGCGCACCAGGTCAGAACTCACACACTTCACTGAAACTTCTCAAACATATCTTATTGACAGCTAAATGAATTGTAATTGTCATTGTCCTGTAAGTTTAAGGTTAAGGTTTACTTTTATCATGTAATTCAGATGCACTTCAAGTAACATAATTAATGGATTGTCAATTATAGTCCATTATAGCACTCTTTTATTTTGGAAGTGGCATTACAATTTGGTCCAACCTAACGTACACAAAAATGTGTGTGTGTGGGGGACGTAATTCTGTTGTCAGAGCTGCCCTGGGGCAGACAAAAGGCATTGTGCCACCAGACCATAAGGCCAAAACCTTATCACCAAGTTTATTCAAAAATAAATGCATTAATCAACAATAACAGAATATTCAGTGACACGTCTCTTTCTACATAAAACAATGTCATTGTTGAGCATTCAAACATGATACACATTATTGTGTTCTCACAACACAATTGTTGTACATTCCTTGTAAATGTCACACAACATGATACTGTGGCGCCCTCGTCACTACAGTCACTCCGTGGTTGAGTTCCTCTTGAGCCACAGTCGTCAAACATTTGAACTGATATATTGAAAAAACATAGTCATGTTTCTGACTGCAAACATCACTCTGCACTGGTGCATCCTGTTCACTTTTCTCTTTGTCTTTCTCTTTCCCCATTCACTCATAATCCCTCCTTTACTATTATTTCTGTATTCTCACATGACTCCATCTCCAGCAGCTCCCCTAGCAGATCTAACCTGGGCTTCCACTGATCCAGTGCTTTTCCCTGCTGACAAATAGCCTGTTGTAATGACTGGAGGATATTGGGGAGTTTGGACTGATGAGAGGAGAGAAGGAAGTGTTCCAGAGGCCTTTTTGAACCTGAGTTGTTAAATGTTGAGTGGACGCGGACAATGTCCCCTCTTCCGTTTGTAGCCTTTACAGCCTGCCTGCAGCTCCACTCTGCACTGGGCAGAGTCTATAGACTCCCTTTAGCTGCGTGTGACAGGTTGTTTTGAAGTCATTCATTTATTATGCTTGGTAGAATAGAACTTATAATCACTCACATGATTGACAAGGACTCGGGTCATACTTATTCTTGATAAACATTACTCATTGCCTAGAATGAGTCTGGTGTGTGTGAATGGTTGGTGGTGGTCGGAGGGGCCGATGGCACATACTGGTTGCCTCGCTTCTGTCAGTGTGCCCCAGGGCAGCTGTGGCTACAGTAGTAGTTTATCACCACCGTGTATGGAGGGAATGAATAATGACATGTAAAGCATCTTTGAGTGTCCAGAAAAGCGCTATATAAAACCCATGCATTATTATTATTATTATGAAGAGGAAGTATGACCCGACTCCCTGTCAATCATTTGAGTGAATATAAGCTCTATTCTACCAAGAACAATAAATGACAAAATGATGAAGGACATGACTTTTGGCCATCTTTATTTTGTTGCATAGGTACAAGCAGTTTCCATTTAACAAATCATAGAAATGTTGGCGACATTTATAGTCAAATCTCAAACCAAAACAGTCATCTGTAGTGAAGTCAGACCTCACACACTTTAAAGCAGGGGTGTGGCTGCAGGTTTTAGCTCCAACGCGACCAAGAGAGCAGCAGACTCCTCCCATTTCTTTAAATCTTTAGGTCAAAAGATGGGTGGAGTCTGGTGTTGGCTCCTGCTCCGGTTGGAATTAAAACCTGCCCCTTGAGGACCGGTTGGACACCCCTGCTTTAAAGACTGAATTAGGGCTGGGATAAACGATTATTTTTTAAACGATTAATCTAGCGATTATTTTTTCGATGCATCGATTAATCTAACGATTATTTTTTTCGCTTCGCTTCGATTTCGATTCGATTCTCGATTATCTCCCCATTAATTGACTAATATTGATGTATACATGTTGATTTAAATATTTTAATGAAAAAAACATGAATTCCTTCACAAAAAATATGTATTGCTTGCTCTTAAAATTAAAAAATAAGACATTCTTAGAGGTAGCATAAAACCTTAAAGCCTTGAAAACACAGCTTACTGAAAAAAGTGCATCTTATCATTCTTGAAACAAACATTTGATGCTTAGCATTCAATAAAAATATGAAAAAGTTCAGCCAAATACTTGTGTATAGAGCAACTAAAAGAAAACAGTAACCAATGTAAACTTGAAGGCTTTAAGCTAAACAAAGAGTGCTTTTCCAGCAAAAACAGTGGGAGCCATCAGCCTGTCATGGCGTCCTTCCTGAACCAACAGTTTAACATTTAAGTTGAAGACACATAGGCCTATATTACTGAAGTCCATTAATTAAAGTGCATCTCTTAAATTCTTCATTCATATAAAAATAACAGTCAAAACTCTGCCACTCACCTTTTTCTTAAACTCAAAATTCAAAAATAAAATTCAAGTAAGAGTGTACAAGAGAAAAACAATGCATTGTGTAGCAAATAAAAAGGTCAACCACTCATCCTTTCTTTTAGAGTTACTGAAAGAATACAGTAGAAGTCATCTCAGAGGACTTAAAACAACATTGAAGTCACCAACACAGATCAGAGAATCAATCAACAGTTAAACACATTAAGGTTATTGAACACATGTTGAAAAATGTCCATATACGGCGGGCATGAGTGAATAATACATGTAGGGGCTATTACGGGCGCCAATATTCCGTTTGATACAAAGAAAGACGGACCAGTGTAAGAGTGTAGAGTTGCCACAGGACGCGTCATCAGCCTACGTCAGCAGCCGCGGACTGCTATGAAAACATTAGCTTTGTGGTTTCACAGGCGCAGTTGACTGCTTAAACTAAACTTTGCACGAAACTTTGACTCTTAAAACCCACATGTGACAAAACGGAACCATCAACATCTCGCCTCAAATTGCATTAAAAGTGACATTCGTGTCTGAATTCGTTCGTATTTTAACTTTTAAAGAAATTCACGGTCCGCCATCTTGGTATGCTTCGGCTGCCGTGAGACGCGCATGCACAGGTTTGCATTACATCATAAACAACTGAGGCTGTGCATCTCTTCAAGGCAGTGTATCTCAGCGTTACACCGGCTTGCACTTCTCTAACACGGCACTCGCATTGCTACCGCTCGCCGCCATCTTTGTTTTGTGTGTGACGCACCGATGCGCATATTATACGTCGGTGTATTTTTTGCGTTGACGTCACCGATTACGTCGACGCGTTGTCCCAGCCCTACTCTGAATCCATTTAGTAACACTTTATAACATGATTGAATGCATTAATGTATGGCGCATCCACGATGAGGTCACGATGAGGTCACTATGATGTCACTATGATGTCACAACTAGTTTATGATGCGCGTTCACTGTGATCTGTACCTTGACTCCTGAATTGACGCAGTGGTGTCAAACTCTTTTTTGTCGGAGGCTGAATAAAAGTGGTTTTCTCAGTAGAAGGTGTTTTACATTTATGTGTTGACTTCATGAAGATACAGTGGTCTCTCGTTTATCGCGGGGATTACGTTCTGAAATAACCCACGATCGGCAAAATCTGCAAAGTCGCAGCTGTACTGTATGTTGTAAAGGACCACTGCATGTTGACAAAAGAAATGTTCTGAACAAAACTAGTTCAGTTAATGTTTGAACCAAAACTGGACCAAATGTAAATAATGCATGTAACTGTTTTATTTAACTATTTCTAAGTGCTTGGATTAAACTTTTACTACAAATGTTTCTCGAACATAACCCGAGAGCCATTTTTACCATCATGGAATTCAAATAATGAAAAATACAAAATACTGATTTCCGAACGGGCCTTGTGTGTTTGTGAATTAATGCATTCATCCATGTTTAGTCATTGTTGCTATGTTACCGGAAATGTTACTGCGATGTACAAAAACATAATAGAATTTTTGTGAATCTTAGGATACGAGTACAAAAATGACAAGCTGAAACTGGTGTCACACGTGCATGAAATATGGGGATGATTTGAGATTAAACATGAGAGGAGGGAGACAATATTAACACCATTCAGACAATTATTTATGGATCCGTGAAAATAAAACTGTTTGAATACACTTTGTCAAGTACCATTTTCTTACTCGGGAAAACTGGGAACAAAACATCTTGATCCAAGTTTGACTGACTGATTTAAAAGATATTATTTACACATTTTTACAGATTAAATTCAAATCATACCTCAGTCACAGAAAGGAGATTATGCTTGTATGAGCTGAACTGTTTCTAGTATTAAAACTGTGACCCAAAGTCTAAGACCAGAGCTTACCTGCCACGGGAATCACACACAGGCTATTTTTGTGGGGAACAAGCTTTAAGAGGGCTGCTGTTTTCACTAATCCAGTGTGGGACACGCACACACACACACACACACACACAAGCCATGTGTGTGTCTTTCACAGGACTGTAAACCATATAGCAAGACCAGAGCGGGACAGACAAGCGCGGGAGAGACCAGAGTGGAAGAGAGACCAGAGTAAGACTAGAAAGAGAGAGAGAGAGAGAGACCAGAGCAAGAAACCAGAGAGACCAGAGTGAGGGAGACCAGAGTGAGGGAGACCAGAGTGAGGGAGACCAGAGTGAGCAGGAGAGGTGGTGTAGCCAGATCATAAGTGAGTAAATGATGAATAAGCAATCCGTGCCAACACATTTGCATAAGAACAGTTGACATTTGCATTTGAAAAACATTAAAAGCCGCTGCAGACAGGTCTCCATCACACTCAGCCCACCACATCTTTTTCACCAAGGTTACCAAGCGCCTCAAGAATATACTCACTAATGCATTTCACAACAGGAAGCATTACATCACCCTCCATTTCCCCTCCCCCGTCAAGCTCCAAGTTTGAGTTGTGTTTTTATTTGCGTTGGCCCTCTCCCCCTCGCTCTGCCTGTTGTGTTCTTGTGGCGTCCCTGTGCAGCTGCAGTCTCCAGGGGCTGGTGGCTAAGAGCAGCCTGTACAGTCGCCACCTGGACCTTAGTACTGTGCTGGACGAGAGGACTCTGCCGGGCCGGACCGTGCCAGGTACAACCCTCTCTACTCTTCACCTGCGGCTTACCCTTCTCCAGACCATACAGCAGTAGTTTAGTAAATGGGAATAGCAAAATAATCTCCCTTGGATTGAGAAATTAAAGCAAGAGTTCTTTAAAATAAGACTAAATGGCTTTGTCCCATCGGCAAATCTTGTTTTAAGACAGAATACACTCAAATTAAGACAAAAACCACTGGATTCAAGCAATTATTACCTCATATTTTATCATTTTTTGCAGTGCAGGAGGGTCCAAGGCAGCCCTGGGCAAAGTGACAATTTTTCCATTCACAAAAACCTAATTCTGTCTCCCCGTATTTAAATTAATGGGAATTACTATGAATGTGTGGAACTTAATGAGCGCTGCGATGGCGAGCTCATAATCTTCCATCACAAACATCCATCTGTCCACAATACGTAGCCTTCTTTAGCTTTAGCCCAGCTTTGGTACAATCCAAGAAAATATGCACGTTTGTTACATTTTTAACAGAAATAGCTTAAACTCAAATTAAATGATAGCCACATGCTAACTGCTCTGGCCTTCCACAATATACCGATATTCCAACATTGCCATAGGGATTAAAAAATTGCCCATCCCTGGTCTAAGGACAGTGGTGATGATCCAGGACACTCGACCATCAATGACATTTATCAACATTCATGGAGAATAGACCGCTTTGTAAAGTCCTCCGAGATAACTGCTGTTGTGATTTAGGGCTGTACAAAAAGACATTGATTGCAATTGAATAGTTAATGTTTCCTGCAGCTCTGAGGACGTTGTGGGCCTCGCTGGGAGCCACAGACGGACCCCCTTCAGAGCACAGCAGGTGCAGACTCCCACCACTCTACTGCTCTATTCATTCATGAACACATTAGTTTGGGCTGGGAGAAGCCTCACTGTAATAATCACTGTAAAATAATGTAATACTCTCACTCCGACATGTGTATTTGGACTTGTTTTAGAGCAGTGCTGATCAGAAGGAGAACTCTCTGATGTTCTGGGTTTGATTCCACTTCCAGACAGTACCTTTCTGCATGTTCTCCTCGTGTCTGCCCAGGTTTAGTCCGTGTGCTCCAAGAGTTTAACCTGGAATTCTCAACAGCTTTCTAGCTCAATACCAAAGATTCTCTTAATGCTTCATGAAGACAACCTCTTCCTGTTCATTCATCTGTCTCTGTATTTTCTCCAGGATCACCTCGTTACCCCCTTTGCCTGCTCCAAAGACGTGCTCTGAAGGCCACTCTGAAGAGGACAGGAGCCCTCCGCACCAGAGACAGGACCATGTGAGCAACTCGGACCAGAGACTGGACCGTGAGAGCACAAAGGACCAGAGACCGGACTGTGAGAGCGCCAAGGACCAGAGATTGGAGCGTGTGAGGCAGGGCGGCGGGGACTGGGCCTGGACCGTGGGACAAAACATGTTCTCAGCCCAGTGGGTCAAACACAAGCAGCAGTCCAGGAGCACGCGGCCCTGGTGACCACAGCCACAACTGGACAAGTCCACGCCGAACTTGCTGATCAGGATCAGTTTGAGAAGGTCACAATATTTATTAGATCAACAAATCCTTCAACAACGGATTGTCTTTGCAAATAATCCGAGATTTTTCTGTTTTTGTTGTAAAAGAGGTAGAAGGTTCATTAAGACTTTTGCCGTTTTTCTTGCCGCCTTATTTTCAATGGAAAAAAGCTATACTTGAGCTATTTGTGCTTTTATCGCATTGACAAAGTTGTATAAAGCCCGTTCAATATAATCGTTTATTGCAATTATTGTGAAGCCATACATTGTTCATCTGAATCTAAATGACTTGTGTCAGACCGAACAGTTTGTCCCACACTGTTTATTAGTTTGGACTCTTTGAGGATTGAATAACTGACACAAGGATTTTATTCAAAAATCAGCTGCGAATCAATAATAATAAATAAAATATTTAATAATATGGGATATTAGTAACACAGGAGCAACATATCTCAGAGGGGAGATGAGGACACAATGTTCAGGAAACGTGTGATGGCCCAGTGAACAAATGATTCTGCAGATGATCATCAGCGTCTGAATGGTGCAGGACTGGAACTGTACCTGAAGGCAGAGGTTTGCGCTCTACGAGGGTGCTTTTTTTTTTACTGTTGTGATGTTTGGAATCCTCTTTTGTATTTATCTAAAAGCAGAGAACTGTCCTTTTGAATATGAATAAAGATATATTTTTCTAAGTACAAGATGGGTGTGCGTGTCTGTGTGTGTCCGTGTGTGTGTTCGTCCACATCACAACATTGTTCCCTATTTAAATATATATATTCTTTATATAGATATAAAGACAAGCTAAATTAAGGCTATATCCACACGAAGACAAAACGCTTATAATTTCAGAAACTTTTTCTGTAAACACGGAGTTAGCTCAGTAAATGTGTGCGTCCATATGAATGTAGTCAATACGCCTGAAAACGCTGTGAAACTATGCCAGACCTGTTGGTGGCGCTGTGACGCAATGACGGGATCAAGCCCAAACTTCCGTGGGCATGCGCGGAATTTTGTAAACAGACAACATGGCGAGTGGGCGAGCTGGTACTACATTAGTATGGACGGACGATGAGGTTGAACTGTTGCTTCGGGTCGCACTGGATTACAAAACCAACAAGCTACAAGAAAGTGTCATTATTTTCTGAGTGCGGCGCATGCGTGCTTTAACAAGAGGCGGGGCGATGACGCAAGCGTCTCAGATACATTGCGGAGAGGCAGTAACCACGGAGCGGCATATACGGAGTTTTGAAATCTTTCCACTCTGGGACCTAGTTTCAAAAATGTTCGTTTACACCCCCCCCAAAACGCCGGCCTCGTATGGACGATACACTGGATTGATAAAGTATTTTTGCGTTTAGGCCTGAGCTTGACTTCATGTGGACAGGACCTAAGTATATGAGACCGAACTGGAAGAATGCCCAATATGCCCATGAGAGACCTGGGATGACGACAAACACATTGGTCAGACTCACCTCTGTCTTGGCACAGATCTGTTGGGAGACATTTATGCCGCTTTTCCACAGTATCAGTACGGTACAGTACAGTACGCTTCAGCACGGTTATTTTGCGTTTCCACTAGTGGATGGTATGGGAGATTTGAGTACTTTTCCGTACTGCCTCAGCCTTGGTTCCATCCCCATAGTACCCGTGCCATGACGTCACGTCGGCCGACTGCCTTACAATGATTGGTCAACGAGTGTGGTCACTGGAAGCGACATCTGACCCTTTGGGAAAAACAACTCAACCGCTTCGGCTACATTACGTCCTCCTCACTCCAGAGAAATGGAATCACACAGAAAGCCCCAAAAGTCCTGGTCCACACGTTCCTCTCTTTAGGCCAAAGAAAGAATTCGAAGGCAGCTCGAGGCTCAACACAGTTTTCAGGAGATCACCCAGCTCTGGATTTGTGACTAGTCTGTGGTAATCCTGAAATAACTGGTTAGCTACAAATCCTGTTAAAGCTCTCACTGAAATGTATTTACTGTGTAAATGTTTGATTGTCCGTTGTACACAGTGAGCTAGCTACATTTAGCTTCATTTAGCTATAGATAGCAGCTAAGCTAACGTCTAAAGCTGTGCTTTATCTCGTATTATCTGCAGTATTTACGTGTTGTCATTATGTTTTGTGCTTAAATTTAAGTTGCCGTGTGTCGTGTGTGTGTATTTAAGTTGTTGTGTGTATATTTGTATGAGAATCCCTTCCCATAAGTGTGGAGATTACCAACGAGTAATGAGTGACTGGAGTATTCTCATCTGGACCTGGCCTGGACTTAGTCTGGATCTGGTCTCAGACATACGTGCTTTTGACTTTGTAAACTGTTGGTTTTGCACTTTACCTTTGTTTTCAATAAATCTGTGATTGTATCAAGACTGTGTTTCATTCATATATTATTATTGTATCTGAGGTTTGGGTATCGATTGTTTGTCTGGTCTTGGAGTTTCCGGACTAGCCTAGCCTAGCCTAGCCTAGCCGCTAACTCGCTACCCCTATGGCTGCAGCTGTCTCTCCCTCGGTCCTTTACTGCTCGAGTTGCCATATGACGAGTTTAAACCCCGGATCCTCCTCTAAGGGTAGTGATAGATGTGTTAAGTGTAGTATAGTTGTAGCTTTGGAATCCAGGGTTAGTGAGTGAGCTGAGGCTATAGCTAATGCGCTAGCATTAGCTATAGCCTAGCAGTATCCTCAGACATGCTGCCCTCCTCCTCTGCTACACAAGCTGCTGTTGCTACAGGTCCCATTCAGATTGTACAGAGCAGTCGGCACCATTGACTTCACAGTGTCTGGGTCATTATTTTAAGACATAAGCATTTTCAAAAACTACTCGTGCTGTGCTGAACTTTCTATTAAACACTTGCTCTGATATTATAATAAATCCATGCACTGCACCAGTACTAGTTACGTGTCACACGTAAATGACGTGGTCTGACAACGCTGAGGACATACTGGGGGTACTATTTTTGATGGAAAAGCACGCGAACTGGGCCATTGCGCGCCGTGTAGAGTCAAAACGTACCGTACTAGGACTGTGGAAAAACGGCATTATTCTTACTTCTCAGAAAACCCGGGACCCTTCACGCAAGAAGGGTCCGTGGAAAACCATTTCTCGCATTTTTCATCGCGGTAAAGTGGCCTGGCTTTTCGCCGTCGTGGTAAAGTAGTCCGCACATTAAAAGCGGGATCCCCCTTTATGCTGTTACTTACTGTGAACGTGGGAAAGGAAGGCACGGCAATTTTTTAAAATTTGTCATCAAAGTGAACAAGTCTGCAGTGAAAGTAGTTGCAAAACTTGAATTTGTTTATGACTTTATATCCCCTCATCCCCCCCGGCTTCTCTTTCCACGTTTACCGTAGGTAACGGCATAAAAGGGCAACCACTTTACCGCAGCTGTTTTTCCACTGTTCTTTTCTGAAGGAATTAGAAAAAAAACCGTAATCTGTCCCCAGCGGGCTGTACAACCGACCACACAATAAGGATGGACCATTTGATTTAGTAAACCTCTCTCCAAACGTCTAAAACTAGCTAACTCTGTAGCATCCAGGTAGCTTTCTATGCTGTTTTGCCACCCAGTCACGTGCCCGGCGCAGAAAAAACTATAAACAGCAACGTCACTCCAAGATCCTCTAGTCTAGTATTTGTGTTTGCTGCTGTGGTGTGGCCAGAAAGGTTTCTCCACATCAAAGAATTGTGGGAAAAAATAAACCTACCAGTTCAGAGGGTTTTCCTCTGTCTGAATTCTTGACTTTCAACCTCGTGACCAAAACTGATGACGTAATCAGCGTCCGCCATGTTGGTGCTTTACTGATTTGACAAATCAATGGAAGCCTACAACTTTTTCGTGTCAGGCTGGGTGAACAAACTTCAGACAAAGCAAGTTTGTGTTGAAAAGTCAGTTGTTTTTGCTTGTTGGTTTTCGTCCCGGTCGCGGAACACTGGACCAGCTCTATACTCTCCATCGGATACTCGAGGGTTCATGGGAGTTCGCCCAACCTGTCCACATGTGCTTTGTGGATTTGGAGAAGGCGTTCGACCGTGTTCCCCGGGGTGTCCTTTGGGGGGTCCTCCGGGAGTACGGGGTCCGGGGTTCTCTGCTGAGGGCCGTCCGGTCCCTGTATGACCGGAGCCAGAGCTGTGTTCGCATTGCCGGCAGTAAGTCAGACCTGTTCCCGGTGCATGTTGGCCTCCGCCAAGGCTGCCCTTTGTCACCGGTTCTGTTCACTGTATTTATGGACAGAATATCTAGGCGCAGCCAGGGGCCGGAGGGGGTCCGGTTCGGGAACCACAGGATTTCATCTCTACTTTTTGCGGATGATGTCGTCCTGCTGGTTCCAACGAACCAGGACCTGCAGCATGCACTGGGACGGTTTGCAGCCGAGTGTGAAGCGGCTGGGATGAGAATCAGCACCTCCAAATCTGAGGCCATGGTGCTCGACCGGAAAAAGGTGCCTTGCCCTCTCCAGGTGGGTGGAGAGGTCCTTCCTCAAGTGGAGGAGTTCAAGTATCTCGGGGTCTTGTTCACGAGTGAGGGGAGGATGGAGCGTGAGATTGACAGGCGGATCGGTGCAGCGTGCGCAGTGATGCGGTCGCTGTATCGGACCGTTGTGGTAAAGAGGGAGCTGAGCCGAAAGGCAAAGCTCTCAATTTACCGGTCAATCTTCGTTCCCTCCCTCACCTATGGTCATGAACTGTGGGTAATGACCGAAAGAACGAGATCGCGGATACAAGCGGCCGAAATGAGCTTCCTCCGCAGAGTGGCTGGGCGCTCCCTTAGCGATAGGGTGAGGAGCTCGGTCACACGGGAGGAGCTCGGAGTAGAGCCGCTGCTTCTCCACGTCGAGAGGAACCAGTTGAGGTGGCTCGGGCATCTGTTCAGGATGCCTCCTGGACGCCTTCCTGGGGAGGTGTTCCGGGCACGTCCCACCGGGAGGAGGCCCCGGGGAAGACCCAGGACACGCTGGAGGGA